ATAGCAGAAGAATCACTGTCACATCTTCAGCTGTGTGCTTTTGAGGGGTGATTTGTGAATGAACAGCTATGTGACTGATTCACATAGCTGTTTATTTGGACTTGTTTTAAGGCCCCACATACTCGGGTGTACTTCACTCCTCAGAGGTCTGCGCGTACTCAAGGCAAACTCAACGCAGACTCAAAGTGGACATCCGCCGGCCATGTTCGCACAAAGATCAACTATGCAACTAGCTCATCGAACTTGCTAGAATTTATTAGAAAATATTCCAAATGTTTCTCGCTGTCCATTGTCTTCATATCCTTCACCAGTGTATTAAATGATGAATGGACTGTACTTATATAGCACCTTTCTATCTTATCAAGATACTCAAAGTTCTTCACAACACAATCTGTGTCCTCATTTATCCATTCATACAGCATTCTACTGGATCTCTACAAAGATAATTGAACAAATCATTCTAAAGAGACTAATCAGTACTTCAGATCACAGTCATACACTGATGGGACACATCAGAGACAATGAGGGGTTCAGTGTCTTGCCCAGGGACACTTCGACGTGACTGCTGGTGGATTTGAACCCCCAAATATTGCATTGGAGGACGACTGCTCTAACCACTCAGCCGCCCGTATTAAATGCCCTTCAAATTCCCTAACCCTAATCGGGAGGATCTGGAGATGTCCCAGTGGGCCGGTCTAGGAGTGGGCCATATCATATTGTTCACGATAATACTGGTAAAAAAAAACGCTTGCCCGGAAAAAATAAATGATATACCAATTTCATGACATAAATACGTCAGTGTTTGCCCTGCCTAGTTAACAGAACTGAGCACGCCGAACTACCGAACTGAAATGCGCACCCCACATCCACCTGTCGGTACTGGCGTAACGCTAATTAGCTGTGCACAGTACTAGCTAGCTAAAATGCTAAAAACAAACAACGTGCGGCTCGGCTGCGTTTCTCCAGCCAGTTCTAAACTGCAGGTACAGACAGTAGCTATGTTTACATGCGCAAAATTATTTGACCGGATTGAAATGTTTTTCAGATAAAATAATTCAAATGTATTGTTTACATGGGCACAATCTGTTCATGACGAGCGTTTACATGCAGCGGGCTTTGTCCTGAACAGAAGTACTGACATGCGCAGAGTGGTAAACTCTCCTTAAAAAAACACCAAAGAAGTTCTACTTCCGGTTTACGTCCAGGATGAACGTAAACAAACCTGAGCACCCAAAATGGACCCGCAACAGGTTTTAATGATGGTGGAGATGTTACTGCACTCCCTGACTGATCTACAATTCAATTCAGTTTATTTATAAAGCGCCAAATCACAACAAAGTTGTCTCAGGGCACTTTACAGAAACATTCACATAAAATCAATCAATCAATCAATCAACTTTATTTATACAGCACATTTTAAAAACCACAAGGGAAGCCAAAGTGCTGCACAATAAAACAATAAAAACAAACAAAACAATAAAAACATACAAAGCATACACAAAGAAACATAAAAACCATTCACATACCAGTTTCACAGCAGGTGTATTAAAAAGCCATAAAAGATAAGATCACGTGTTAAAAGCCAAAGAATAAAAGTGTGTCTTTAAAAGAGATTTAAAAACAGGAAGAGAGGAGGCCTGTCTGACACTCAAGGGTAAATTGTTCCACAACCTGGGAGCAACAACAGCAAACGCTCTGTCACCTCTGAGCTTCAGCATAGTTTTAGGGACTGTCAGCAGCAGCTGATCAGCTGATCGTAGGGATCGGGGTGGACATTAAGGCTGAAGCAGCTCAGACAGATATGGTGGGGCCAGGTTGTTCAGACATTTAAAAACAAACAGCAAAAGCTTAAAATTAATTCTGTAGTGCACAGGGAGCCAATGAAGGGACGCCAGGATGGGAGTAATATGCTCGCGCCTACGAGCCTGAGTTAACAGGCGAGCAGCAGAGTTCTGCACAAGCTGCAGACGAGCAAGAGACGTCCGGCTAATGCCTGCATACAGCGCATTACAGTAGTCAAGACGAGCTGTGATAAAAGCATGGATTAATTTCTCAAAGTCAGGTCTTGCTAGGATTGGTTTCACTTTTGCTATTTGGCGGAGTTGATAAAAACTTTTCTGAACAACACTGCTGATCTGCTTTTCAAATGTAAAATCAGACTCAAACCTCACCCCCAGATTGGTGACACAGTCCTTGAGATAAAATGACAGTGAGCCAAGATCTATGTTGGGAGAGGGACGGCAACTTGGTCCAAACATCATAACTTCAGTCTTGTTCTCATTTAGACTAAGGAAGTTAAGAGAGAACCATGTCTTAACATCATTAAGGCAGTGTGTAAGTTGTTGAACTGTGTTGTTTTGTGCCAGGGGAAAAGCCAATTAGTAAAGTTCTCTATCTAAGGAATCCAGCAGACAAGTTGAATCTTGGCTTCGTCACAGTCTTCCATCCTGAGCAAGCACAGTGGCAACAGTGGAAAGAAAAACTCCCTTTTAAAAGGAAGAAACCTCCAGCAGAACCAGGCTCAGGACAAGAGACCATCTGCTTTGACCGGCTGGTTGAGAGGACAGGAAGGAGAGACAGATGAACACAGAATGGTAGGTCCAGGTATAGGTCCAGGTTTATCTGAAAGACAAAAAAACACGTTATGGATCGAAATAATAATTACAAATACAAAACGGGTTGAGCAGAGTTAGTAAAGACAGCAGCAAAGTGAAAAGTGTGCTAAGTTTGTCCTCCAGCAGTCTAAGCCTATAGCAGCATAACTAAGGGACAGTTCAGGAAACCCAAGCCGACCCTAACTATAGGATTTAGCAAAAAGGAAAGTCTTAAGCCGAGTTTTAAAACTGGATAATGTGTCAGACTCACGGACAGAGAATGGAAGTTGGTTCCACAAGAGAGGAGCCTGATAACTGAAAGATCTGCCTCCCATTCTGTTTTTGTAAATTCTAGGAACCACAAGTAAACCTGCAGCCTGAGAGCAAAGTGCTCTGTTAGGAAAATATGGAACAACAAGATCTGTAATATATGATGGAGCTAGGTTGTTGAGAGCTTTGTAGGTTAGAAGTAAGATTTTGAATCTATGCTGGATTTGACAGGGAGACAATGGAGAGAAACTAAAACTGGAGAGATATGATCTCTCCTACTAACTCCAGTTAAGACTCTAGCAGCAGCATTTTGGATCAACTGAGGACGTTTGAAAGACGTATTTGGACATCCAGATAATAAATCATTGCAATAGTCTAGTCTAGACGTGACAAATGCATGGACCAGTTTTTCTGCATCATCTTTAGATAAGATGTTTCTAATTTTAGTGATATTACGCAGGTGGAAGAAGGCAGTTCTAGTAATGTTTTTAACGTGGGGGATAAAAGACATGTCCTGATCAAAAATAACACCAAGATTTTTAAAATTAGAGTTGGAGGACAGATTAATGCCATGTAAGGAGGGAGAAAGACTGAAAAATGCATTCATAAGGTGCTCAGGTCCAAAAACCAAAACCTCAGTCTTGTCTGTGTTTGAAAGGAGAAAATTAAGGGTCATCCAGGTTTTAATGTCTTTAAGACATGCTTGTAGTCTAAGTAGCTGCAGGTAATACAGATCATTTTGAGCTCTTTCAAAGTTTCTAGTAGAAATGTTGTCGCTCACCGACCAGTTTTGCTTCCCCGACATGCTAATATTATTAACATTAGCCAGGCAGAAATGACAAAGTCGCACATGCGCAGTCAGGTCAGTTTTTCACAATCAAAAAAAATGAACGGATCAAGCGTTTACATGCGCACTGTTCGAGTTATGAATCGGTGTAAACCACCCGTTTCGTTCTGATCACAAATTATTTCGGATCACACTGAATAAACAAAACCATGTACTGATTTTCATTTTTTGTTTTTACTGTAACTGACCTTCAAAAGAGCTAGAAACAGGGACTCAGCAGCTGATCCTCCATAGAAAAATTATATGGACTACAGGCCATGTATTATTTGTTTTGTGCCCTTTAGTGAAGGTTTTTGTTTGGATTAAGACAATAAATGCCTCATGAACTTTTCCTGTTGACATATCTTAAAGTAAAACTGCAGAACACAAAGTAATATAAAAAGGAATGGTTAGAAGATCAAATTAAATATATTTCCTAAAAATTAAATGAAGTGAAAAAAACAGGAGCAGGACAGGAGTGGGAGTGATTCTGAACAGGAGCAGGAGTCATGTTACCAGGAGTGGGACAGGAGTATTTTTTTTTTACTCTGGACCAGGATTGGGACAGGACAGGATTTTTTTTGTGGGACCAGGACAGAACAGGAGTGAAAATCCACTCCTGTGTCATCCTCTATTCCACAGTCCATGGACCAAGAACAGAGGCAGGTGATCAAAGACAGAGCATCAGAGAAATGGAATCATTCCTGCGAGGATGCTGAAACACCACAAGCTTCAGGGTCAGCTGAAGACACCTTGTCACAAGTTCTGGAAGTTATAGCTCATTTAAAGGCAACATATATTTTGTTGTATGTTACATTTATGCTCAACAGATATTAAGCTTAATTTTATTTAGTTATTTTGGGAAACTGCACCTGCATTTTAGTTTTTGTGGTAGATTTTGTTGATCTATCTTTTGTGCAGACTTTTTCAATCTAAATAACATAAGGATCATTTTTATTTTTTATTTTTATACTTTGAGATTGAATACTTTACTAAATAAAGTAATTTCAGTAAAATTAACCCTTGTTGTTTTTTTAGTTTTTATACAATAATGCAAAGCAACATGTTAAGTTAATTTTGTCAAATGAATATCTATGATTTCTGTAGTTTTTTTTTTTTTTTTTGTTATATCACGAAATTTCTCGTTATCGTCAGAATATTTGAAATATCACAATATTATATTTGAGCCGTATCGCCCACCCCAGGCCAGACTAATGTGTGGGCTGTAGAGCCAGGGCTCATTAACAGTTTTTCAGCACCACTCGGTGTGGGTGCCTGCAAACAAAAAAACAGTGTTTTTCTTGTTCCAGGTGGTGAAGACTGTGGGTCTGAGGGAGGTCTGGTTTTTTGGTCTGCAGTACACAGACAGCAAAGGCTACGTGACTTGGCTCAAACTCAACAAGAAGGTAAGAGACCACTTGGTATATTTTAGATCTGCCTCATAGGATGTTGGTGTCGATTCTTGGTCGTCCATGACATGGAGATCCTGCATCATCATTATCATTCACTTTTTATTTTCTTTGATAATTTCTTCAAATAAATCACTCATGAATAAATAATGTATGGTACAAGCAAATGTGTGGGTCTAGTTTTGGTTTTTAAAAGCTTTAATCCATGGGTATTTGTTAGGCCAAGACTCGGACTGCCCCCTCTTTGATACAACTGGGGGTGCTTGGCATCGCGCCCCTATCGCGCGGCCCCCTGGTGGGGTGTGCCCTTGCCTGCCGGCGCGCTTGGAGCCCTTGGTATCGGGGGCTGGGCGCTTGGGCGTGTGTCGGCTCGGCCTGGTGTCTGCCTGGTGGGGCTCGGGTCCTCTGGCCCTGTCGGGCCTTGGCCTGGGTGGTGTGAGTCCTCAGTGCCCGGGCCTCGGTGCCTGGACCTGGACCTACATCGGTGCGGCGGGTGCCGACGGGGGCCTATGAGTTTGTCGCTGTTGGCCCCGGGGGGTCACTGTATGTGGTTGCTGGTGGGGATCTTCCGGTTCTCCCCTGTGGTCCGTTCTGGGGGGTGGATGAGTGGTTCGTCCTGTGTGGGTGGCTCTGGGGGCTCCGCGGTCGGGGTCCCTCCTGGGGTCTTGGGCTCTGGTCCCCCCTTTTTCGTCTGCCTCTGGTCTTGGGGGTCGGGTCTCTGCTGCTTCACAGTTACTAATAAATGTTCTATTAGAGAAGCCTTATACACTTATGCATGCTCACAACCACACACAAATAGAAGCAGGGATGCTTATGTAGGCTTTATATGTAGATATATAGATATGTATGTGAGTGTATATTCATGTGTATGTATGTATGTATGTATATAGGCGTAGGTATGGGTATATATATTTATGGAAACTTACTGCAAAGCCATGAATATTTTAAGTTCTTTATACATATGTATTTTGTTGCTGTGTTTTGTCATGTTCTTTGCAGGCGAACAGACAGTGGCCGGGTGTTTTGACGTGTCCTCTATTTGTATATATTTCTTATATTTTGGAGTCTTACTTTGTCTTTTCTTTCTTTCTATCCTATTAATAAAAAAAATAAAATAAAATAAAAAAAATAAATAAATAAAAAAAAACTACACTAGATAGTCACTATAATAAATATTTCATAATAATGGTGTGGAGAGGATGGCTGTAAGGGAAGAAGGGAGGCCATCAAAAAAAAAAAAAAAAAAGCTTTAATCCAAACCACTTCAGTCACATACTGAGAGGGGGGTTAAGGAAGCCATCCATCCATCCATTATCTGTACCCGCTTATTCCATTTTGGGTCACGGGGGTCGCCGGTGCCCATGTCCAGCAATCACTGTGTGAGGGGCAGTGTACACCCTGGACAGGTCGCAAGTCCATCACAGGGCCACATAGAGACGAACAATCATTCACTTTCTCACTCACACCTAGGGACAATTTACCAATCAGCCTAACATGCATGTTTTTGGTCTGTGGGAGGAAACCGGAGCACCCGGAGAAAACCCACGCATGCATGGAGAGAACATGCAAACTCCACCCAGAAAGGCCCCTGGACCGAGGTTTGAACCAAGGACCTGCTCGCTGAGAGGCAGCAGCTCTACCAGTTGCGCCACCATGCTGCCCGGGTGAAGGAAGCAATTTATGTAACAGAGGAGGGGGCCTCAGATTTCCACTTTCAAAAACCTATAATGCAACTTTAATACAGATTCCCAGCCGGTTTTCACACTTGATGGGAACAGAGAGGTCTCATCTGTGAATTAGAGTAACAAAGACTTTAAGAAACCCCTACTGTTAAGGTGTTGAGGTGTGAATTGTCAAATCTATATATGTGTGTGTGTCTTATGTCACTCAGCCTTATAACCTGAATCTCTCACTCACTGCTCTTTGAATTGAGAAAACTCCTCGGATGAGGAGCGAAACGTCTTCTGTTACAAATAAAGTCCAGTTGTTTTTGTATTGAATGTTTTTTGAATTTATCATGTCCTGGATGACTGAGAATCTTCACCAGCATGTGCACACACTTGTATCTTTTTTTCATATGATGTGTTTGAAGTGAAGCACTACATTTCTGTTCAGGTGACACAGCAGGATGTGAAGAAGGAGAATCCTCTGCAGTTCAAGTTCAGAGCAAAGTTCTTTCCAGAGGATGTTTCTGAGGAGCTCATCCAGGAGATCACACAGAAACTCTTCTTCCTGCAGGTACTGGACCACCTGTTTTGGTCTAGATCAGGGCTATTCAACTGGCTGCCCAGGGACAAAATCAGGCCCAATGGGTGAGCTCAGTTCGGACCACCAGTGGGTTCATATTTAAATAAAACTTTTTTTTTTTCCTCCTCCCTTGTCCTGTCCAGCATTGTGACATTTAGAATTATTGTCTGAGTGTCCAAGTGATGCCCAACAAATTTACTTTCACAAGCAGAGCATTATGGCTGGCCTTAATGCTCCACTTGATATATAAATTAAATTTTATTAGAATTTGCTTTGGGTTTGTTTCAGATGTGATGGATATGGGGATGAAAAACGAAGATAACAAAGCAGAAAAGTGAGAGAAGGGTTAAAAGGTAAAGAAGGAGATGGGAATAGAGGCGAGAGATATAAAGAGAACACAAATCAACATCATTGAAGTCTGCCTTTACACCTGCGGAAAGAAAAAAACAAGACAAAACCAAGAAACCACAACAACAAACAACATATATAATGATACTTATAACATCATTAGAAAGTATTTTATACAGTACATGGTAATAATACAAGATGTATTTAGTGGTCTCCACAATCCAACTGAGTGTGTATCTGATAAACACCTGAATCTAAACACCTGTGTGAGCATGATGTCACTAAGGTTTCTCCATAAAAATGTTCAATAGTGGATGTGGCGGCCCACAGACCCGTCCCCACAGGACATGATGGTAACACAGGGAAGACCGGAACCACAGACACACAGCAGCCCCCAAGCCCGGAACTCTGGGAGTCCCCCAACAGGGACACCCGCACCCCCCAGAGAGGGAAGCAAAGGGAAGCCCCGGGCGATCCCCAGCAACCACAATGCAGAACCCCCAGGAGGCTGCAGCGACGAGTCCACAGGCCCCGCTGGCAACCCGCCCCTCCAGAGTGGATCTGGCCATGGACACCGAGTCCCAAGGTCATACCACCACCCAACAGAGGCCCGACAGAGCAAGGGCACCCAGGCCCCGGCAGGCAGCCACCAAGGGCGGACCTGCACACACCCCACCACCCAGCCCCAGATGCTGAGAGCCACCAATGCACCGGTGGCAGGGGTGGTCCACCACCGAAGGCGAGCACGACACACCAAATGGTGCTTTCTTTTATAAAACTAGATTTTAATCCGTAAAAAAAAACTTACATAATGACAATAACTGCTGGATGTCCGGCCCCTGATCTCTTAGCTTCCAGTTACTGTGGCCCTCTGAGATATTTAGTTGAATAGCCCTGGTCTAGATGATTGTAATCGGAGCAGCGGGGTTTCAACCTTTTCCTCTGTTTCCTGATTAAAAACTAAAATTCTTGCTATCCTGATGCATGCTCAATAATCCAGGTAGAAAAATCTAAAAAAATTCATTCTGGTCCTCTGGACATAAAAAGAAAAAAAAAATGTATGTTTCGTCTTTCATCCGAAAGACTTCCTCAGTCTGAGGTGCTGTATTCAGCTCAGTCTTTTAAATAGCACTTTCTCAGAGTGGATCAACCAGTTTGCTGCTGACAACCAAAACCAGCTGCTCACATGGTCAAGAAGGACCATCAGCCTAACAATGGATCATTAGCACCCTGATGGCTGTTTGCTATTCACAGGAGGCTGAGTGAAACTAGCAAATAACAGCATTGTAAGAGGGGGACAGTTGAACCCGGAGGCCTCCACCCCTGTTTAACGATGGACGGTTTCTTTTCAAAAAGATGGCCTCCTTTACTCCTCTCTCAAACCATCGTTCCCCTCTGTCAAGGATGTGAACATCTTCATCCCTGAAAGAGTGACCGCTGGCCTGGAGATGAGTGTAGACAACAGAGTCCTGGCCTGATGTTGCTGCTCTTCTGTGCTGGGCCATCCTTTTGGCCAGTGGCTGTTTAGTTTCCCCGATGTAAGACTGATCACAGCCGTCCTGACACTGAACAGCATGCACAATATTACTCTGTTTGTGCCGGGGGACTGGATCTTTGGGATGAACCAGTCTTTGCCGTAATGTATTTTGGGGTTTAAAAGCCGCTGGGACGTTATGTTTAGAAAATAAACGTCTCAGTTTCTCTGATGCTCCCTCAACATACGAGAATGACCACTGGTCTGGGTCTGGGTTCCTCCTTTTCACCTGATGGCTGACTGGAGTCCTGTTTGGGTTTCTTCTCTGCTTTCAGGAAGGCCCAGTTCTACATTGCTCTAGAGCCTGTCTTGTGTGGGATTTCTCCTTCTGCCTGGCTCCTGAGTTAGTGGGGACGCTGTCTGCTCTGTGGTACAGAGTCCTGATGACTCCTAACTTGTGCTCCAAAGGGTGATGGGAGTCAAACTGCAAATACTGGTCTGTGTGGGTGGGTTTGCGGTACACCTCAGTTTCCAAATGTCCTCTTTCAGAGACTGAGACCTCACAGTCCAAGAAAGCCAACCTGCCATTTTTTACATCTTTTCGTGTGAACTTGATGTATTTATCCACAGAGTTGATGTGGTCAGTAAAATGTTGAACTTGCTGACATTTAATTTTAACCCAGGTGTCGTCAACATACCTGAACCAATGACTTGGTGGTGTCCCTGAAAAGGACGTCAAGGCTCTCTTTTCTACCTCCTCCATGTACAGGTTGGCAACAATAGGAGAAACTGGAGACCCCATAGCATACCCATGTTTCTGCCGATAATATTGCTCCCCATATGTGAAGTAGGTTGACTGCAGGCACAGTTTCAAGAGTTGACACAGTTGTTCTGTGGAAAGTGTGGTCCTGCTGCTCAGAGTGGTGTCTGATTTTAATCTTAAACTGACCACTTCTACTGCATCATCAACAGGAATGCGTGTAAAGAGTGATGTGACATCAAAAGAAACCATTGTTTCATCAGAGTCAGAGTCAGAGATTCTTTATTGTCATTCGCACCTCATGTGGTGGAGCGAAATTATGTACACAGGGTCCCAGTTACATCCAACAATAAAATGTATAAGAAAAACAGTAATAACATCTAAGATATGAACTAAGAAAAACATCAACTAAATATACACTAAGCACTCATAACATAAAACATTGAACATCACCACAAACATGAACATGAGTCTGTGAGCAGATGTGCACGCATGAACACATCAACATTGAAACAGATCAGCAGCAACATGAAACAGATCAGCAGCAACATGAAACAGATCAGCAGCAACATGATATGGTTTTTCACAGTGATTATTCTAGTTAGAGATTCATGAGTCTAACAGCCTCAGGGTAGAAGCTGTTCCTCAGTCTAGTGGTTCTACACTTAATGCTCCT